TTAAATATTTATAATTACTTATTTATAATAAATTGATTTTTATAGATACGGTACAATCTAAAAACTTATTTTGTAAAGCACTCACAAACAAACCTTAAAATGGAACGGACGGAGTGGTGCAACAGAAAAACGAGAAAACAGCATAGAGACCAAATGGACCACGAGTTAGCCAATTGAATAAGGATTTTTTAACATATGTTATTTAAAAATGTAATAAATATATATTATTTTATTAGAAATATAAATTTCTATAAAAAAGAAAACTCTGATTTTTAATTTATAAGCTTTCAATTAAATGCATTTACTTGACACAAATATTACTCATTCCATCCCATAATAACTATTGTCATTTGACTTTGAATTTGCTTCAAATTAATTTTTTTTTTCAATTTTCAAAGTAAATAAGTATTTTTTTCTAAGTTAACTTTATCATTATCTATTTATTTTGATTAATTATTTAATTATAAAAATTTTGACTTTATCTTTTAACTTTTTTTCTAATAATAATATGAATAAATAAAAAAATAATTATTTTAAATTAAATAAAATTCAATTACATTTGTCTATATACATTTTTTTAAACAAATTCGCAAAAGATTGGATTCGAATAGTTGTCCTAAAAAGAGAAAATGCACTTATATGTGACTTGACGTCACTTGGTGAAGGTCAAGTGCTTTGTCTATATACATTTGTAAAGATATTTTCTTTTTTCTCTATATACATTTGTAAAAGAAAATATCTGAACATGATATAAATTAGAAAAACTTATTAAATATCACAAAAATGGAACTGATATTTAATAATAAAACATAAAATTTTCATTATAATACAGGGTTGTGGCTGTACGGATATCAGACAACTAGTGCATTGCAGCAGTATTTAATAATAAAATATGGTATAATTTTTTTAATTTTTTTCTCTAACATATAAATTTTCAGTCTCAAAAGATTCATACTGATGTCTATGATATCTGTTATCTATTACTGTAGGATATCCAATTTGGGACGTTGTGGTTGAACTAGACTCATTGTGCATCCCTAAGTGTGTTGGTTAAAGTTGGATAACTTTTGCCAGAACAAAATAAAGCAGATTAAAGAAGATGCTACTGCCCGTTGCCAACCACGTCCAGAGACTATGGGATAGTTGGCATATCAGAGGATTGATTATTCTGAGCCTCCTCCTACAGTCTTTCCTAGTTCTGTTTGCACCATTAAGAAAGCAAAGAGGTGGGAAATGGATCATCATGATTCCACTCTGGATAGCATACCTACTTGCAGATTGGGTGGCTACATTTACCATTGGACTCATGTTGCGTGCTGAAGGCAGTGACATCTTGGCCTTATGGGCACCCTTTCTTTTGTTGCACCTTGGTGGCCCTGACACTATTACTTCCTTCTCTCTGGAGGACAATGAATTCTGGATTAGGCACTTGCTTGAGCTCATTTTACAAGTTGGTGCGACTCTCTATGTTATCCTGCATTCACTCCCAGGTAACAAACTTTGGCTGCCAACTTTCCTAGTTTTAATTGCAGGGGTAATCAAATATGCTGAGCGCAACCGTGCCTTTTATCTCGCAAGCTTTGACCATTTTGGGAATAATTGGGCCTATAGATCAATTAATAAAGTATTTGACATGCCTCCCATTCCAGTACAATTTGAACAACTTTTCAAGTCAAGGGTTTTGGCAGAGCTTAAGGAAAACATCATCGGACGGCCTCCCCTGTTTTCGAAACCTTGTCTGGCAGCTTCCACGGTAGGCGCTATCAAGAGCTTACTTGTAGGTCCTCCCTTGACTAAACGCGAACGAAGTTTTTTTTGTTTTTCTATTCCAAGCAGAGGTGCACATGAGATGCTTCGAATCATAGAGATCCAATTAAGCCTCTTGTACGAGCTCCTTCATACCAAGTTGCCCGTAGTTGATTCCAAGATTGGTTATATTTTCCGTACGGTTAACTTTGGTTGCATCTTGGGAGCCTTGGTGTCATTCTCAATCTTACTTAAGAAGTACTACCATTATAAGTTAAGGGAGTTCGACATCTGCCTGACATATGGGTTGCTGACCGGGGCATTGGTATTGGATTTGATATCCATCTGGTTACTTACGTTCTCTGATTGGATTATTTGCACAGAGAATGATGATGAACCCAATAAAAGACTCAGGTGGTCGAACATTAGAAGACGCAGGGGGTCGAATTTAGTTCTCCAATTAACGGAGGACCCGTGTAGAGAGAATGATGATGAATTCATCAAAAGGCGCAGGTGGTCGAATTTAGTTCCCCAATTAAATATTCTAGATTATCATTTCAAGAATAAAGACGGAGATTATCCAAACAAATTGGTTGATTTTCTTGGCACCTGCAGTTTGTTTGAAACCATAAGAAGAAGAATCCAGTATGTGTCCCTCGAAAATTTTGTAGAAGAACAAGCTTGGAAGCTCATTTTTACAACGCTGTGTGAACAGGATATTGGCGAGGCTGGCATGGAAATCTTTGGTCCATCTAGAATTCTCACCCGTCATATTACCAACTTCGCTTGGACCCTCGACAGGTTTGAGCACATGGAAAGCCTCCTGATATGGCACATAGCCACTGAAATATGCTACCAAAAAGGATGTCCAGATAACAGCACCAGCAGTTCTGCTTCTACATCTACTAATTGTTTTGATCATCGAAAAATATGCAAGTTGATTTCAGATTATATGTTTTACCTTTTGGTAATGGAGCCTACCATGACAGCTACCTCGCCTAACAATTTGAAGATAATTTTTGAGGTCAAAGATGGAAAATGGGAGTGGCCAAGTTATTGGAAAAAGGGATCCAAAGGAACATTAATTTTCGATCTGGAAAAGCTATTGGAGCAAGAACCTACATATGCTCATATAGAAGATATATTGAAGAAAGATGTGGACGAGTTAGGATCCAATGAAAAGGATGATATAGCTAGCTTTTCGAGAATATACCTTGCATGTTTTCTTGCCATGAAGCTCCTCAAATATGAGCCCGGTGGTTGTCCGTGGAACTTAATGAGCAGATTTTGGGTAGAAATATTATGCTATGCTGCTATTCATTCCCAGCCCATTGTCCATGCACGACAAGTAAGCAAAGGCGGACAACTTCTCACCTTGGTCTGGTTGTTGATCAATTACCTGGGGATTAACTCCTCCTCCAAAGGATTCGTAACTGCAATGGTCGGATCTTACGAAAGAAGAGATGACTAGACGGGTAGAGACAGCATTGCAAGGCCCTCCTTGGCCTCTTCTATCCTTGTTCTTTCAGAAGGAACTCGTTCACGAGTTGGAGGTCATCTCAGCCACTTCATAAAAATGTCTGTCAAATATAATTCTAAAGTGTTTTTTTTCTTTTTTCTTTTTTTATTTTGACTTCGTGTTTAATTTGAAAATCTCCTATTAATTTGTTTAGTACTACACTGTATTTTATTTATAATTGTGTTGTGTGTTGCTGTTTGAAAATTTGTATTTGAATTCTAAACAATAATGTATATATATTACCATGTGTGATGTTATCGTAACCTCTGGATTCCAGGATTAAGAGTACCTCTAACTTTTAATTTTTATCAGTCAGAAATAATATTGGATTTGGTATGGAAAAATCGTACCGTCAATCGCAGCAATGGTACGGTAAAAATGTCAAATCGGTAGCACCTAATGTAATTTCATTTGGCATCACCATTGTGGGCTGTCATGGGTGGGCAAAATCGGTTTTGGTTTAAAATCGAAAGCAATTTTGAATTAACCGAAAAAATTTGGTTTTAATTTTGTGAACCAAAATCAAACCAAAATGGTTATAAGTTAATTGGTTTGGTTATTAATTTTTATCAATGAAATTGGTTTGGTTTGGGTTTTTATTAAATAAATATTAATTAATTATTTTTTTAATAATAAATTATATTTTATCACATATTTTATCATATTTTGTTATATTTTATCATATTTTAATATATTTTATTTATTTTATCTTAATTTCGGTTTTATTTTCAGTTTTTGGTTTTTAAGAAACTCAACCGAAATCGAACCAAAATATATTTGGTTAATATCAAAATCGAAAAAATAAAACCAAAAACCGTTGAAACCGAACCGAATTCATTTTTCGGTTCGATTTTCGGATAAACCATCGGTTCGGTTTAAAAATGCCTAGCCCTCTCATTCGGCATTGGTATGGAGGCCCAAATCCCAATATTTGATTTACCGTTTGAGCCTCCTGTTTACTGCTGCATCGACCATTCGGCCCATTTTTACTTTTTCTTTCTCTAATTTTTATTTTCTTATTATTTTAACTTTAATTTTACTTTAGACATAAATAGTCTCCTTTTTTTTCGGAAACCCTAAAAAGGCCTTTTATCTCTCTTCTTCCTGACAGTCTTCGCCTCTATTATTCTCTTCGTCTCTGTGTTTTCTCCCCTAATCTCATAAACCTCTCTTTTTTCTTTTCTTTTTTTCCTATTTCCATCACTTTCTTCTCCCATTTTCTTTGCATACTACTCTCAGTTTGCTCATCCAGGGAAGAAAGGAGATGAACGATTGATTTCATGGAAAAAGAAGACATGAACAAATGATTTCATTTGGTTAAAATGTCAATTTTGGAATTTTAAAGTTTTGTAAAATTTTTGTCTCCCAATCTTTTCATGTATTTTTTTGGTGTCTCAATTATAAATTTTTTTTTAATCTTTCCATCAATTAATTCGTTAAATTTATTTAAATATGTATATTTTTAATTCCTCAATTTATAATATATATACATTTTTTGTCTCTCATCAACTTAAAAGTGCAATGATTAAAAATGTGTATATAAACAGTCTTAACGGATTAATTGATGGAAAGATTAAAAAAATACATTTTTTATAATTGAAGGACTAAAAAAATGTATAAAAGAGTTAAGTGACAAAAAATTATACAAAACCTAAACTTGAGGGGCCAAACTTTGGCATTTAACCATTTCATTTTGCACGTTTTCTTGCTGGGATTGAAAGGGGAGATCACATTTTTTTTTTGGCAAAACTACTCCTTAACCCCTGAAACTTGCTCCATTTTTTCAAATATGCCCCTAAATTTAAAAAACGCAAATAACCACTTCAACCATGCAATTAAAGCAAATTAGCTCTTCAATTAATGACTACTGATAATTCCTATTAATTTTAGTCAAAAGATATGACTGCCATGCACATATATCTGATAATTAAAATAAAATAAATAATTTTAGATTTTCGGTGTTGTGATTAGCCATAGATTGTTTAGTATCTTACTATCTGAATGTATAATATATTAATCAAAATTAATAAAAGTACAAAAAATTAAAAATTAAAAATTTATATTTAAAAATAGTACATATTAGTACATACTAAGAATTATAGATTTATATTTAAGAATAGTACATATTAAGCGGTGGGACAAATTTCTTGATCAGATCGGATCATGAACTAATCTGTTTCAAAAGTGATATTAAAAAAAAAGAACCAAGTTTTTCAAACATCGGTTTTGTGGATCTCGTGAGTGAATTGTGGAACAAATTAACGGCTTAGTCAATCCAATGGCTAGGTGTTTCAACTTTTTAAAGGAACCTGGGCCAGATCATGAGACCGGCAATGCATGCATGTTTACATGTTGCTATCAATGTGAAAAAGGAATAAAATTAGATGTGGATGGGCTAAACAACTCAATCTTTATTCTATTAAACTCTTGTGCTTTCAGTGGTTTCGATGAAATGATTTTGTTTAACAAATAGATTATAAATAATAGATTTTATTAAGTATGTATTTTTTTTATCAATTATCTTTTTTTTTACTACTTTCGTTTCATTTTAATAATTCAATTTTGACTTTCTAAATTTTAAACAATTTAAGAATTAGCAAAAATCTCAATAATTACTTGCTGGTTCAACTTTTGTTAGTTTAACTTTTTTAATTTATTTAATAAAATAGAGATATAATAATTAATCATTAAAATTTCTCATGAAATTGTATAAATATTTTTAATGAATACTCTTAATGAATATTTTTTGTGTATTAATTCATTAGAGTTGGTGGACGGGACCTTCCTTTAGTCCATACAAGAAAGCCATCGTTTGCGCAACTCAGTTATATATCTATTTTGAGTTGAATTTTATGTAGAGAGTTGCAGATGAAATAAGTTATTAGAAGAAAAAGGGTTTTAGTCACAAAATTTTGTGAAATTTTAAAATTATCATTATAATTAATATTTAATACATTTTAAATATTCATCACATATAGTTACTAATTCTATTAGCAGTAACAAAAAATAAGACTTAGTTAACCCCTAATTTAATTCTTCAATTATTTTATAAAATTTTTAGTTAACTTTTAAATTAAAAAAATTTCACATTTAATCCTTAAGATTTAATTTTTTAACTCTTTTTTAGTCCTCCTCTTTTTTTTTTTTTTTTTAATGACAGTGGCACGTTAAGTAACAGTTCACCCATCTTTATTTCATATGTGGAAAATGGAATTGATAATGTGAAAATTTTAAACACTAAAATTAATGACAAGGGCAATGAATATAACATAAAACTAAACAATTAATTTTATTTATTCAATTATACTAAAATTACAAATTTGCCCCCCTTTCTTTCCCTGTTGCCCTCCAATCAACCCACCAAAATCTAGAATTCCTTCAATTGAACTAAAACAAAATTGAAACCAAATTTAGATTCTTCCTCTCCTTCTGTTTCGCTTACCATTTTAGATTCTCCAAACTAGCTTGTCTCTTCTCCTAGCCCAACTCCTTCTAGTAGATTCTTCCTCTTCTGCGTCCCCTTGCAACCCAGACCTAGTAGACAACATCGTTTTAGTGCACCTCCTCCGTCGTCTTCCTCTGCTGCAATGTAGCCATTGAGGCCATGAGATAGATGACATTCGCAAGAAAACCGAACACTTTAATCTTTCTCCAAAACCTTGTGCAGCAACCTGTGTTACCAAATCTGGGTTTCTTACTCCTATTCGCACGCCCAGATTTGGGTTCCATCAACTTATGCCCTAAACTAGTTTGTTGGCGCAATCCAAGTTCGATGGGAGTAAATTTTGAGTTAGCAAGAGAGAAAGAGATGGATAATTAGGGTTAATTTCATTTGATTATTACATTAATGCATTAAAGCATCGACAAACAAAGCTCAAAGGGCTAATTCACTGCAATTTCTGTAGCTCAGGGACCTATTTACTTTATTTTTATTGTAATCAATCCTTCTCCCGGCGATCTTGGTAAAATACCGTCAGCAACGGATTACCAAAAACCGATAGTCTTTGGTATGGTTTCAACTGCATCAGTCAATTAACACATGTGCGGTTACGATACCGTGCGTCCAACCCGACTCCTAATTAATTAAATCACTTTGTAATTCCTGAAAGACTGTAACTCGCTACTTTGATTGATGAAAGCTACCATTTTAAACACATGACCACTAGCTTTAAAATGTTGGAAGCATGTACATGCAATCAAACAGACATCTTTGAGCTTTGTGTGTCTACTGCAAGATTGAAACTTCAAATTTTTAGCATGAAAACTTAAGTATTCTATTTGGATTTCCATTGCCTTTTTATCTAGACTAGAAGCTGGAACTCAACTGAGAAAAAACTTCGACCGTAGTAAATTCGAACAAGGATTCACACTCTAGACTTAAGTACTCTGTAATTTAAGGCTTGGTTTTTCTTTTGTCTATATATAAATTTTAGTTTTTTATTTGTAATAATTGTATGCTGCTAGAAATTTTGTTGGAGGGAGCAAACTGTAGGGCCAAAATCTGTAAGAATTTTTTAATATTAAGTATATTATAAGAAAATACTGTCTATCAGTTTTATCTCTTAAAAATTAGGAAAAAAAAATATCTCAAAACTACGTAATTTCAATAAATTTTTATTGAAAAAGACTAAATTATCCTGTTTTTAAAACATGCATTAAGGTGATTTTTGTCATTTTTTCTCTTAATTTTTTAGATGTAAGGCAGACAAGCACTAACTCCATATTATAAAGTGTATTAAATAAAAACTGAAAAAATCATCTTCCATTAATATCCTTTAATTGTTGCCTTGTTGGGAATTTACTTCTTACCCAAGCTGCACTAATTGCCCCTTGCCTGAAAGACACTCATGGAACTTGCTACAGTGGTCACATATAGTTAGGAATGTCAACTGGTTCCATGGGGTTTGGGAGTCCCTCCTCATCCCCATTCCTGCGAATGGAGGGAACGGGGATCCCCACGGAGATTTTTAATGAGATGCAGATTTTGCTCCCATCTCGGTTCCTTGTGGGGAACAAGGATTCTCGCAAGGATCCCCGTTAATTAATATCAAAATATAAATTTTTTTACAT